CTGTAGAAGGTATAAGGGCGGGCCATCGCTACGAGAAACGACGGCCAGCTGGACTGGAAGTGAATGGCGTAGTGATCACCACGTACCAAGTTAGTATCTCTTGCTTACTCGCATCACAAGTGCTAGAGGAGACTGACGCACCCACAGATACGCACAAAGAGGAACGAACTCTTCCCAATGCCCCATTTAAGTGCGGTGGACTTCCTAACCTGGTAGATTGTTAATGTCGATACTAACAGCCTTCAGAGTCTTAGATGCCCCCGGACTTCGAGACGATTTCTACTGCTCCATCATGGCCTACTCACGCTCCTGTGGCACTTTAGCAGTCGGGTTAGGCAACTTACTCTACGGATGGTCGGAATCGTCGGGAGTCACACTCTTGAACGCCGGACTCCAAGACGGTTCGTGGCTAACATCGGTGGCATTCTCGTCCGACCAAGGCGGTAAATCGATCTTAGCATTCGGTCGATCAAGCGGACTGCTCTCCTTAGTGTCGTTGTTCGATAGTCTTCTACCTCGCTTCGAAGCGTACCACCCCGCGCCGATAGCTTGCCTCTCGTGGCGTCCTACCACGACCACTCGACCCACACGAAACAGACGCAATCCCGGTGTTCTCGTCGAGACGGAAGATCTTCTTGTGGGCGACGATATGGGCGATGTCTACTACTATTCGGTCGAGTGGCCCGAGCCTTAGGAGGTGGTTCGTCAAAATTGGCATGGCTCGATGATTTTGCTAGCTCGCATCAAGGTCCATTCTCAACAGATATGTGGTCTCGCATGGTCTCCCGATGGCGAGCAGTTTGCCACGGGCGGCAATGACAATCTGTGCTGCCTCTTTAACGTAGACAGCGTCACAGAAGAAGATGCCGACCTGAATTTAGATTTCGGCAAGTCATCGGCGTCGAACTCCCCCGGCAGCGAGGTGGCTACTCCCGGCAGCGAAGTGGCCACCTTCTCGTTTGCCGTCAGTTCGAGTTCGGATGTAAGCGCTCTGTTCGCGTCTCCGTATCCCGAGGTAGTGCCCGACTTTCCCAACCCGAACCCGCTCTGCGCCATGAAATACCTGCCCTCAGGCTCCGAGAAGCATCGTTGGCGTCACGGGGCTGCCGTCAAAGCTATCGCATTCTGTCCCTGGCGCCAGGGACTTATTGCTACAGGTGGAGGATCTAATGACAAATGCATTCACTTTTACCATGCGACTTCGGGAGCGGCTCTTGCGACGATCTCGGTCGCGGCGCAGGTCACGTCGCTGATCTGGAGCACGACCCGACGGGAAATCGTGGCTACCTTCGGGTACGCGCAGCCGGACCATCCCTACCGCATTGCCGTGTTTAGCTGGCCAGACTGCCGCCAAGTCGCCGCGGTGCCGTAGGAAGGAGAGCATCGTGCGCTTTACGCCATAGCATATCCCGGCGGGCCGAGCGACATGTACCGTACCAAGGATAGACTGAAGAGTCGGACGGCGGAGGAAGGCTGTATCATCGTGGCGAGCAGCGACGAGAGTGTCAAGTTCCACGAGGTATGGATAGCAGGTCGCAAGGCAACAAGTTTTGGAAGTGGTGTTCTTGCCGGGAGCGACATCTTGGAGATGGGAGAGGGTATCGACAAAGAGGGTGACGTGATTCGCTAAGAAAAGGGGGAGAATAAAGGAAAGATGCTACTATGCGACAACATAGCATTGTTCCGTAGTGGATTAGAGGTAGGCCGTATGGTAGTAAAATACCCCGTTTAAGTTGATATGAATTCGTTACTGATGGTTTCTTGTGCTTCTGGTTATGATTATAGAATGCAAGTCAGCTCCCATACAGATGATGATATGACTCACTTCCGCAGTGAAGCAGATAGAACTATCAGCTGCATATATGACAAACGTGATGCTGGATATTCACACCGGATAGCGGATAGCGGGTGTTGAAACTGAGAAGTCAGGTGCTCTAGGAATATACCTAGGTAGTGACTTTTACTCATCCATGATGGATAATACATATAAGACTTACCGAAAACTAATATGTTACTCACTTACCCACCTACCTCATCAAGACCTAGATCTACAAAGAATCCCGACAATAATAACTACAAGTTAGGTGTGGTGATACATGGCAAACAATAAATGAGCATTATAACTCCTTTTTGATATCGGATGTCGGTGTTGGAGATGAATTCACGAGGTGTCAAGACCTAGATATCGGAGATACATATTCGTTTAAATAAATATCGGACAAACCAGAAAGCGACTAGTACGTTCCCAGCTCGGTCACATCCGTACCTACCTCCTAAGGTACCCACTGATAAGTCAAAGCCCCGCCCCCTCATTCGCCTGGGAGGTAGGGATTAGGGCGGTACATGACCGTCTTTTGGTCATCAAAGCCCAAATCACCTGGTCTACTGCACCTTAGGTCTTAGGTACTGGCCTATTGCACCCGGAAAGATAAAAAGGTACGTGCAAAGTTGTTAATGGTGAAAGGTCTCATGTACATAAAATGTGCTTCCAGTGAATGCTAAATGCTGAATGCTGCCTTGACCAACTCATTCACTCCTCTTCCGCCTTTTGCCTTAAACAAACCCCCCCCACCACGCAAGACTTCTGCCTTCTTTTACTTCTAACCTTCCCGTATTAAACCTCACCTACCAACCTACCAACCTACAACCTACAACCTAGGGATCCTTTCTCTATTTACGACTGCATCCGCATCGGAAATAACCAACTCCAATCCATCACCCACATCTTTTCTAGATTCTAGAATCGCCGGATTCTCGTCAACCACACACACAGCATCATTTGCGTCATCCGTCATCAACCGTCAAGATGCGATCCAAGTTCAAGGACGAGCATCCCTTCGAGAAGCGCAAGGCTGAGGCCGAACGTATCCGACAGAAGTATGCCGACCGCATTCCGGTATGTATTGATATTGATCTGTATTCTCTGTCTTGGTCCCTGTTTTTGATTCATTCGCTTCGATTGCTCTATTGACTACATTCCCTTGATCGCCGACATTGTAATCATCACCGCCGTCGCAGTATTGCCATCATCGTCGGCATCCCCCAATCTCTAATCCATTCATCGTTTTCTATCCGTCCACTACCAGCTCCAGCTCTATCCGCTTCAAAACCACACCGCTGTTTCCTCTTCCGTTTCGCAACTAACAGAAAGCCATAGGTAATCTGCGAGAAGGTCGAGAAATCCGACATCGCTACCATCGACAAGAAGAAGTACCTTGTTCCCGCAGATCTCACCGTCGGCCAGTTCGTCTACGTCATCCGAAAGCGAATCAAGCTGTCTCCCGAGAAGGCCATCTTCATCTTCGTCGACGAGGTACTACCTCCTACCGCCGCCCTCATGAGCAGCATCTACGAAGAGCACAAGGACGAGGATGGGTATGTTCTTTTTTTTTTTTTTCCTTCCCATTTCTATTATCGCAGACTAACATTACCGTCTAGCTTCCTCTACATCACGTACTCGGGCGAGAACACGTTCGGTGAGGCCATCTAAGCTGCCTTCGGACTCGAGTCCCTTTGTTTCGTTCGCTCTTGGCTTTTACTCATTCGATGACGGCGTTTACGGTTTGATCTGATATGGGCTGGACGAAGACGATGTGTTTACTTCGGTATCGATGATTTTACGAACACGGGGCGAGGAAATGACAATCACTATTGGTCCCAAAGGTGTGCGATGGCTCTAGATAGCTCTAGATGCTCATAGTCTATCTCATATCATCGATACTATTTGTCTTTCCACCTAATCATTATGTGCAGGTCCAAGTGTGTGTGTTTGACTTGGCCTCGTGAATCCTTGTGCATTGCATGTTAACGCTGTGATTATTCTACCAGTGTTACAGTGTTCGTCTAAACGCAAACATCAACTTCGCAAACACGTAATGCCAGATGCGAAATGCGTCCCTTGAGCTGGTCCAATGGTCCAAGTCCCCCGTTTCGCAAGCTCTAGGATCTACATGTACCTCCAGGCTACTGCAGCTAATCGATTTACCTAACCTAGTAGCTCCAGAGAGATAAGCGTTAGGCTATATGCCAGGTACATACTGGTCAAAGCGATAGAATAATGGTACACAATCACGGTCTATCCAGCAAGGTATGAGCTGGAGCAAGGCCGGAGATGTTCGGAGGGAGAGGTCTTGATCATCTAGGGATAACCTAATACCAACCGAAGGGGTAGATGATAAGTCTAGTATGGCGGAAGGTCACGAGATGGGAAGAGGTCACCTGCTCTGCTAAGCCCTGTTACTGTTACGGCGTTACATCCGGGCACATGATGGGAAATGTCCGAACCAGAAGTTCGGGATATAAACTCGGTCCTGATTATTGATTTATTTGTCTATTACGTATGAGGTTTAAGTTCATCACCCGGCCGCTGCCATCATAGTTCGTGGATCATAGATAGCCGCCAGCAGGGTTGCAACCGGTCCGATACGTCAATCTCTCAGCTAGGCAAAGGCCTCCATAGGATTTCGATGCTTCCAAAGCTGTTTCCCGGCTCTTTTCAGACTCACGTAAGCTTATTACGAGCCTAATTCAACCTTGAATGCTGATTCTACGGACGCAGGTCCTATTAGTGATCCTCCTAAGGGACAGACCTCCGTCAAGCAGCTTAGAGGAAGAGGTAAGAGGGATATTTCAAAAAATTTATAACCTCGATGACCAATGAGTTTCATCGCCTGCGGCTAGAAGAAGAAGAAGAAGAAGACACGGTACACCCTTCTCGAGGCTACTGGATGACTCCTTAGCGATTAGTTTCCATCTTCGCCACATCTTCGCCACGCAACGAAGACATAGAGTTTCGTCTAACAATCATACCATCTCAAACAACACCTTGTATATCAAACAACCGCGAGGCTAACGCGCATATCCGAGGCTTTCTACCAAGAGCTAGCCAGTCCGTTCCTAAGCATCTGCAGGCTCCCGAATCTCCAAGAGCACCAGGACCATGATACATAGAGCACGATAAACACGTGACAGGAAGAACCCGATGCCGAAATCGTTTGAAAGGGGAGATGGCCGAGTGGTTATGGCGCTGCGTTCAGGTTGACCTGGATCTACTAGTTTCTAGTCTCGCAGTGGAGCAATCCGCGTGGGTTCGAGTCCCACTCTCCTCACGATAGATTTTTCTTCCTCGGTGGTTTGTGGTCCAGTATAGACCTTTTCCTTTTGTCGTCTCTCTTGTGGAGTGAGTTATGGGTTCAAGTCCCCCGTTCATAGATACCTAAGATACGGGATAGTAAGAAGACTCCGTTGGTGTTCCCATCTGCTCTATTGTAATGTCGTGATGCCGTAAATATAATCTTCATAAGCACTAGGCAGACATAAATCACAAGTTGAAGAAAATATCCGAGATAGAAGCAGCCTCAGAGTTGTCCGGGAGCAGGATTATATTCTCGAAGGTCACGGAGGGTATATAAAGAATCGAGAATGAGCTACTGGAGATCTGACCAAACACAATCAAGAATACTTTCCATTGCCCGATTGCTACCCATAACCCTGACTCTGACCTCCGACTAACTATAATCCCAACTATCTCCTTGACCAAAATAGAGTCTTAATTGACACGGGTTGGTTCTCTCATTTCCGGACTTCCCTCATACTTATATGTAGCCTGATCGTTAGAAAGACTTGGATATCCATCTCCCCTAAGACTAGACACAAACTGAAACCCTCCATTCTATCCGCGGACGCTTCATCCTGCGAGACAACAAAATTATTCGACTGTTACCCAGCTTCGTACGACCCCACCTAGATATACAGCAAGCGCATCACGCCGCAGACATATCACGGAGCCACACTAGAAAACTTGGGAAGGCATCCAAGATTAGAATAATCGTTCTTTTCACTGCAACCCGTCTCTCTCCTAGGGAATAACAACAGAAAAGCCTCGTCCCCGTCTCCGTCTTGGTCTTGCTTGAAGTATTCTATCTGTGCTGCCCACGCCGCCCCTAACTACCCCTATTTCCACTCCATACACCCCAGGAAAGTTTCTCTTTCTCCATTTCGAAGCATGGAATACACAAAAGGCAGCGCGGCTTTAAAACAACTGGCTTACCAGCTAGCACCCGTGGAAGAAAAATATTGTACACATTGAATGGGGGTGAATATTGAAGAAACGCTAATTCGGCATCAAACCAATATTAACAACCGTTCCAAATCCCATATTTTGGAAACACTCCAGCGCAAAGGCTCGAACGGAATGAAAACCAACGCCGTTTTTTCCTTTAGCACTCCACCTCGAAATCCAGATGGAGGCAGGTAAAAGTATCAGAGTAATTAAGTCAAGTCAACCGGACGTTTGTCAGAAAAACGTCAATCGTGGTGGGAATCGCCGAGAACCTTCAGAACCCACCCAAGGCCCCCGTGAATATGATGCAAAACCTGAACGTCCAAACCCATGTAATAAGCAGCGCATGAAAAAGAGCCAAGCCGACACCCAAGACCGCAGTACAGAAGCATTCCGTATCCAGAAGCAACGCCGATATGCTGGGTTGACCTAGTCCATCGTGTTTCTCGTATTATCGCTTTAGAACCTGTCGTCGTATCACGCAGGATTTCCCTTTAAGCGTTTCTGCATTCGAGGTGTTTGAGGCTTCTTATTAGCTCCAGCTACACCGTTTACCTGGGGAGCTCCGATGCTTGCTGGTGTTGGTGCGCCGCTATCCTCCTCGGCTTTGACCGTCGAAGCTCTCCGTCGCTTATTGCTTGCCGGGCTGGTATTGGCGCTAGGTCCGCTAGAGCTCGTTCCTTGCTGGCTCTGCTGTAATTGCATACCAGGTGCCTGCATGTGTCCCTGGGCAGGACTACCAAGATGAGGTGAGTTTGGGAGCTGTAAATGTGTAGCAGCAGGCGAAGCACCCATGGGGAATTGACCGAAACTTGGTGTCCGTGGATTGGGTGGCCCATTAGGATGTTGTCCGTTCATCACAGGTTGCTGCGGGTTGGTTATGTGCTGGTTAACATATTGTTCTAATGCGCCATAAGGGGAGAGTCCGGTATGCGTGTTGTAAAAGTGGAAGAGTGGCTGAACAAAGTGTTAGCGAACTAGATCCAAGTTATGATGCATAAATGGCACCCCCGATGTGTAACTTACGTTCATTTGTCCCACTACCTCGATAATCTGAATACCACGTCAGCGTAAGCGAAGCGTACGAGCTACAAAGTCGAGGGAACATACCTCAAGAAATTGAAACACGGCCTCGGTGATACCAATGTTCTGCTTGACAGCTGACTGAGGTAGGTCGATGTCAGGAGGTGGGTGTGGAGGTGACTTCATGGGCTTCGCCTTTCCTTTCTTGTTCATCTCCGGAGATCGCGAATCCTGCCCATTGACCTTCATCCAGTCCTTTACCCAATTATGAGCTGGTTTAGCAGCCTCGATAACCATCTTTCTTGAGTGGTACTCTTCATGACTGTGGGTAATAAACTCCAGCAACTCTAGTTTCTGGTCGGCATCGAACTGCGCTCGCAAAAGTCCAGTTGACACGACCTAACGAATCGGTTAGTAAATTTTACCAACGCCCCTTTCCTCTTTCCTCTTTCCTCCTTCATCCAGCGATTTCAACTTACGTGAGAGTTGTCAAACCAGTAGGTCATGCTGGCCTTTTGGTTCTCGATGAAATGGCACCCGTTCGGTAGTGGCCTGTCCGTAATTCCCTTCTCGAACGTCAAGTTTATTCGTCTTATGCCACTCTCGAAGTGCGCGTTAAAGTACCGTGCCAAGGCGGGTTGCGTTATCTCGTATTGTTTGTCTGTGTGATCTTCGCTAGACGGATCCGTACCGACATAATACAGAGCGATTCTGAACACGCCTCTTGGTGAGAAGAACTGTGCGACAAAATTATTCCAATACGAAAGGTCGTCCTTCGTTCTCGAGCCCTATTGGACATTAGCGACAGCGATTCTACGAGAGGTCGGTCGGTAAAACACTCACCGGGTATCCGCTAAGATGTTCACCAAACTGAAGCAGCTTCAATAAGCAATGTCCCTTCATGCCGTCATTCTTATGTTGTTGCTGATGCATCAGCTGCTGCTGGATGTTGTTAGACAACTGAGGGTGCGACGCAGCTTGCATCATTTGGGAATTTGGCTGCTGTTGAGGTTGAGGTTGAGCCTGCTGGTTGTTCGGCTGCTGGCCTTGACCCTGGGGGTGTTGCGCCGGGTTTCCTTGCGCGGTGGGAGCCTGGTTCTGTGGTTGATTCGGCTGCGATACTGCGGGCGTGGGGGCTCTTTGGGGCCCTTGGGAATTCGGTTGGGGTTGCTGGCCTGGCTGCGGACCGGGTTGCTGTTGGCCTGGCTGCTGCTGTTGCGGCTGTTGCCCCTGCTGTGGTTGACCCTGCGGTTGGGGTTGCGGCTGAGGACCTTGGCCCTGAGGTACTTGCTGTCCCATCTGCGCCAGTTGAGCCTGTTGTGCTTGTAGATTCTGAAGCTGTTGAGGGGTCATCTGCTGAGGATGTCCGGGTTGGTTCGGATGCATATGGTTCGCCTGCTGCTGGGCTTGATGTTGTTGTTGCATGGCCAGTTGTTGCGCCATCATCTGTAGACTAGTTAGTGGAAGTCGCGCGAGCATCGTGGAGTATAGACCTACCTGAGCATGCTGCTGGGGATTCTGATGCTGTCCCTGCTGAGCCATATGTGCTTGCATATGTGGAGGCATGCGTGCTATATTACCGTTTCGAAGGGCAGCTTGATATTGCGCAGCTGTCAAGTTGTTCATACCCATCCCCTGTACGTTCACCGGCATGCCACCACCGTACAATTGTTGTTGCATCATCCTTTGACGTTGCGCTATGAGGTGTTGCTGTTGCATTTGGGTCATCATCTGGCCGTTTTGTACTATAAAGACGCGCCTGTTAGCCAAGATCGAAGCGATAACGAAGACCAAGATCAAGACCAAGATAAATGTCACAGCAACGCGTAACGTAACAGCTAGGGGATGCAATACTTACAAGCGAACTGCTGGTTCTGAAACATGTGCGGGTTGAGATGCTGCAAGGCCTGAGCATTTGGACCGCCTGGAGGCATAGCTCCCATCATAGCAGGATTGACTTGTCCACCGGGTCCGGATCCTGCCATATGCGCGCCCATCTGAGGAGGCATTCCCGGCTGAGCACCGGGTTGGCTTGGATTGTGAGCCATGCCTGGCGCAGAAATGGGATGTCCCGGATGAACCCCTGGATGCTGCTGCATCCCTGGATGATAGCCACCGGGTCCCATACTTGCCATCATTTCTCTCTTGTCGACTACCCACGACGTGGATATCGACGTCTACCTGTATTTACTGTCTTTCTCATACGCTTCGTTTCCGTCTCGATGTAATCGTAGTGTCGATGTGATCGCTTGCCCGACTCTAGTTTCGTATGCAGCACCGTCTCTCGCGTTTCTCGTTCCGTTCGTAGGCGAAGACAGATTTCCTCCCTCTTGATAAATGTTTTAGTGCAACTTGATGCAACGCGATCGCAAACTGTGTATGTTTAAGGATACCTAGTAATTGTGGACGAGCCTACAAGGCTAGAACGTATGTGATGATCTGTTGTAGTTGGATATGGGTGAGGTCCGTCCGTCTTTTCGTCGACTGAAGTCAACCGGGGAGAAATCCGGGTAGATTAGTAGAGGCGAAAGTAAATGTGAGAGGGCGGAGAAAGGCCAAGATCAAGATGACACGGCCGAAGAGAATTAAGAAGAATCGCCTCTGACGTTGGAACGCGAGGTAGTCGAGTTTTTTGCCTGCGCGCCGCACGCACCGATAGCCAGTAAGAGATATCTGGCTAGGTTGGATCGAGTTGAAACTAACCAAGTAAGTAAGGATTCGATGCAATTGGTCGAATTTAAATAGCTGTTGTCGCTATCGGTGTAGCTATCGTTGCGACTGTCGTTGTAGCTGACACTATTGTCGCCGTCGCTATCGCGCGTTGGTAGACGGCAGAAAAGTGGACGTGCACGATGCGATATGGTAGCTGGGGAATGCGTAGTGCGTAGAATGCAGCGTATGCAATGTAATGTGCAGCAGTGTGTAGTGCAATGGTGAGATTCCCAGTACTCAGTACTCAATACCCCATGCCCAGACGTACAGTAACTAGTACAGTGTGGGTAGGAAGGTAGTATGGGGAGTGGA